GTTTCCACAGGTCTCCTTCCTCCTGGAGTTCCTGTCCTCTGTGTCCCAGCTCCTCCAGTCCTGCTTGCTGGTGGACCCGGCCCTGGTGGCTCAGGACGAGCTCCTGAGACCTTTGCTTGGGAACATTGTTGGGGTGCTCAGCATACACACGGAGGACGTGCCAGGTACGCGGGCCCTTTCCTTCTGCACGGGAGTGAACCCGGGGTGGGGGTCGGGGAGCGGAGAGCACTCTGCACCAGTCACACCACATGTGCTCTTGGATTGGTCCCGGGTCTTTGCTAACATTTTCTAAGTCCTTTAAAGGTATTTTATAGTTTGGCTGATCACCACTGATGGCAGGAAATCATCTGAGGCAAGCGCAGCGTCCTGATTTGCTTCGCTGGCATGTCTCAGATGGAGCGTTTCCTAGAAATCGAGAGTTTGTGGCAACCCTGTGCCACCTGTGTCTCTGGCACTGTTTTTCCAAGAGTGTGGGGTATTCCCTTGGATGGGCTCTCGGGAGGACTCTGGGTCACATGTTGGCCACCGTCACAATCTTCCAGTATCTCCACTGCGCTGTCATACACATAATAGACTAGTGTCGTGTAAACTAGCACTTCTGCACTCTGGAAGGCCAGGAAGCCCCTGTGGTTTACCTTCTCGTGACCTGGCTCTCCCGCCACAGGCTGGCTAGGAACCTGCAGTATTGCAGAGGTGTGTGCCAGAATAAAGGACCGATTCACTGCCGCCTGGTGTAGAGAGGGCAAAATTGTTACTTAACGTTAGCGACAGAATTTGGAAAAATTTCTCAAGGTCTCTTAAAGTATTGAAAAATATATTATGATAAAAAGTCAACCATAATGGTTAATAACTGAGAAACTTGAAGTAATGCCTGATCCTTTAAAATTCCAAAGATAATGATCTAAAATGGTCCTAGTGAAGCGATCGATCATTTCGGCCTTTTTGCTGTTTCAGCGTGCTCTTGTTTAGGCCTTGGAAGTGGATGCATTTGCCTGGTTGGGGGTTGGCCAGTGACGTCCAACATGGCCAGGCCGGCCTCCTTGGGTGGAACTGCTCCCTCTTGTGTCTGGCAGTCAGGCCTGGAGTCTCGACGGGGCAGGACAGTCCTAGCCAGGCATTCACCTCCGGGGACAGCACAGAGCAAATGCTGGTTGTGGGGGAAGACCGTGCTGGGACTCTTGGGTATCCTCATCGTTCGGGGTTCTCTGAGGCCCAGCCCCACGTGGCACTATCAGGTCCTCCTGCCTGTCTTTCCTGATGGGTTTCCCCAGCATCCCGTGAACAGCACTGACTGAGTGGGTAGAAAGTGCACAGGACATCTGTGAGGTCAGCGGGCAGACCAGGTGGACTGGAGGGCCCTGGGGTCAACTGTGCCATCCCACGTCCTGTCCAGAGAGTTGCTGTGGCCCCTGTCAGTAGCCTGTGGTGACATTTTCTTACTTGAGAAAGAGAAATCACGTACATTTTACATTAGAAAAATATCCACCCTGTTGTTACTCATGCCAAGCACTGAAAAGAAAACATGTTGACAATATCATAATGTGTATCTGGCAGATGATTGAGTGAGAAGTTTTGTTTTTTAAATCTAACTGCCAAAGCAGCACAACTTATTGCCAGTGAGTCGGATCCAACCCAGAGCTGCCCCTCCACAGGCTTCCAAGGCTGCCAGTTACAGCAAGGACATTGTTCATCTTTCCCTGAGGAGCGTCTGGTGGATTCGAACCACCCCAGAGGGCTGGCCTTTGGGTTAGCAGCCCAGTGCTCTTCAGCTTAGACCACCAGACACCGTGTATGTACCTGCACTTATACATGTGTTGTTGTTGTTGATTGCCATCGAGTCGAGCACGACTCCTAGCGAGCCTATGAATGAAAGGCCTGAAGCCTTTCTATAACCATCATTTCTCCAAGTTCATAGTTTTCAGAGGCGTGTGGTCCCTCCTTATGTATCTGTACAAGGTACAGATGTATATGGAAATAAAGGTAAATGTTAAGTTCTCTAAAATAATTTTTAAGAAGTTAATTTTTAAACTCTTTTAAGATTATGCTTTGAATTATTTGTGAAAGTTTTGATTTCAAAATAGAAATTGCTAGTTTTACATACATGTTGCATTGTAGTTTATTTAAGTAAGTTATATTAAAGATTGTTCAGTAAGTATAGTTAAGCAGTTACATCAAATGTTAATAGCTTTTAAATTTTTAATTTTAACTTCAGCTTAAATATTTCATTTAGCCAGTCTTTAAGCTGGCGTTGACTACAGTGGAGTAGCATGAAGTGTAAAGCTCTTACTACTGTGTATAACGGAGAGGCAGTATATCGGTGCAATTAAAATTTCATGGAGACGGCAGTTTGGAAAAATAGGTCTTAAAAGTCTGTTTAGAGAGCGGTTGAGAAAACTTGACGAGGACCAAGGCAAGCTGCGTTGCAAACTCCCTGGCTGTTGTTTGCTGCCGGCACAGGGCGAATGCTCAGTGCGCTGTGGTGGCATTGGATGAAAGGTGGTCAGGGCTGCATCTGATGTGGCCAGAGAGACAGGCCTGAGACAGGCCCTGCCACCAGCTCCCCTCGGTCCGGTGAGAGGGACCCTGCGTCCTCGCCTTCAGAGGTTTATCGCCGCCTCCGTGTCCTTGTTAGGTACTGTCAGGTGTCTGACACATGGCGACCCGCGTACAGAACAGCCGTCCTGCGTCCTCACAGGCCTACTGTTTGCTGGGCCAACACGGCCTCAGACCTCTCATGGAGGGTCCACCCTGAAACGCCCCACGTGCTGCTGCTCTGGGCATTGATCTCCATGCTGCAGACAAGGTCCTTCCTTCCCACCTTGACCGTGGCACTTGGTCTTCCTCTCTTCTGCAGAAGCTGCTCAGGAGGATAAAGAGACCAGAGAGGCTTGTCTCCCACAGAAGCAGCTCAGCATGGAGACAGTGTCGTGTAAAGTGCGTGGCTCTCGAGTGATGGCTAATGTGCACTCACAGCTGCTGAATCATCTTTGCTAAGAGAATTGTTGAGTGCAAATGGTTTTCCGTGTTAGCTTGTATCACTCACATCCCAACAAAAAGTTAATTATAAATGGTTTAAGAAAAAAAGCCCTCATTTTATTATTAAAATCTTCTTAAGTATAATAAAAATGCAAAATACTATTTGCTATAAAAAAAGCCAAACCACAACAGGAACACAGAGATGCCCTAACAAAATATAAGGGTGTCTTGAAGAGGACACTTTGAGAAGCAAGCAGGAGGCTAAGGAAAGGGAAGTGTGTCTGGGATCCCCGATGTGCAATGCGTTTGTCTTCGTTCCTGGGGCTGCGTCTCTTTATGTGTGATGAGGTGTCAGCTCTCGCGTCACATCTCATCTCGCAGTGCCATTTTTCTTCCCAGCGGTAATTCCGTGGGATGTCTTGATTGTTCCTACAGATGCGGAGTTGACGGTGGCCCTTCGCTGCACGTGGACACATTTATTCAACCTCCTGGCTGTGCTGCTGAGGAAGGCAGGGCCCGTCTCTCTCGCGTGTGTCACAGAGGCGCTGGCCAGGCGCTGGGTGGCGGTGATCGGTGAGAAGATGCTGGGCGGGACGGTGTGTGTCTGCTCCGAGCACTGAGATGACCCTTACTCACTATGACATGCAGAGTCCTTCAGGTTCAGTGGGGAGGCATGGCCTGAGGGCGTCCTTGCTGAAGACATTTGCAGGATTCTTGAGAAGCCAGTACATTTTGAAGCACCTTTCACAATGCCATATAAACACAAAAGTAAATACACTGTTCTCTGGTATGATTAGTAATGACAGATATTAACCTGCAAGTGGACACAGACAGACAGACAGAATGGACAGGCATGTGTAGACGCCTGAGACTAAGCCTAGGAGCTCGACAGACAGACATGTAAATATATCCAGATATGAAGCAGAGCAAGTGGAGGAAACTGACCACTTCTGGTTGTAACAGAACGCCTTGAGGGCATGCATTTCTGGGTCTTGGGGCTGAGGCCAGCACTGGGGGTCATCAAGTCCACAGAGTGTTCTTCCTCCTGTTTTAGAGAGTTGTGACCAAGTCTTAAAAGCTCGTGAGCCACCATCTCTGTTTTTTACTGTCATGAGTAAAGAAGAGGGAGGAGAAGCAAAGACTGTTAGTCTACAGGACTGTGGGGCT